TACAATCTGAAGATTGTATGAAGACAGACATTTTAGGCCCATGCCCATCCGGGCAGTGACTGCGTGACTTCCTTTTTTATAGGACTTCTTGCTTTAGAACGCTCTTGCCTTGATAACCTGGTTTTCCTTGTTCCTACTGTATGGCAGGGGGGGCTGGGAGGGGAGGGCAGGGTGGGGAACAGGGTGAAGACTGTGGTTTCAATTTAACCAAAGATTCATTAATATGACGGTTTACCTTGGTTACTCTGCACAGCATGATAAGCCATGTCCCTGCCTATAAATAACCATGTAGAACACTACCTTGAATGTTTTTAGGATCTAGCCTCAATAATAGGGCCTAAAAGTGTAGAACAGTGTGTGGTAAAGGATTATTTGTAATGTGTAGGATTTGGGAGTCTTGCTAGACAATTTAGGGGTAGGGGAAGGTTAAGCCATAATGCGCTTAATTGATTTCCTCTACCCTTCTGCTCTGTTTTAATTATAAACCCGAGCTTGTTTCTTTTTCAAATTTTGTTGCATCATGGTAACAACAGTACCAACATCACTGGGTGGCTTACAAATATTGGTACACACAAATAAAAAGAATATCCACTTGACCATTATAGCTGTCTCTGCCTAATAATTTTACTCAAGTTCTTTGAGTAAAAATCTGCTGAACAAGAATGTCTTGCTTTTTATTTGAAGGTAGAAGCCTATTCTGGAATTTACTTTTTCTATTTACTCTATCATAGATGTCTTTCTGTTGTATCATAGCTCATTCTCCACTGCTTTGTAGTGATAGGGGGTGATTCGATGATTAGGTGTTTGAATGGTAACAGAATGGGTGGGTTGGAACCCGCCCCTGGCTCTGGGACCTGATGAGCTTGTGTAAGGGAGGGAAATCCTCTCAGCGTGTCTTAATGCTTCCTTCATCTGATAGGCTTTCTAGGAGTTGAGTGGATTGGACCATAGACAACTACGTTACATAGCACCAGATGTACCACAGCATTTCCTACTCACTAGACATTTAGGTGGTTTTCTGGTTCAGATCTTTGCCTCTATAAATAATAACTATTAATATCATTGTTTTTTAAAATTCGATGTGTTTCAATGGATGTACGAGCTCCCAATAAAATGATTTTAAAAACCCCCGAAAGGAATAGGATCCTACTCCCACAGTGAAAGGATGGTTAAGGATAAATCACACAGCCCGTGATGCTTGGATAAGTGTGAGGAATATTGCAAGTGAGGATGCCAATCAAGATGCAAAAGGGAAATATCTTAAATTGTATTGTTTTTGTCAGGTATTTAATATTTTCATTAACATTTTAAAACTCATAACAAAAGCGAGATGTGTTTAAAATGGGGGCAGATTTCCATAAGCGAAATGGGAATTTTCCATTCGTTTTGGACTGGCCATTCCTGTGTATCTGTCATTCCATTATTAATGAGAGCTTGGCACCGACTTCAGATCTTAATAGTGTTTTAAGACATAAGATATAACCGTGTGTGTGT